ACTCCATCACTTATGCTTCTTCCTACTTCTGACTTCTACTCATTACATTTTCACACAAGTATCAAGTATGTAGTTTCTATTTCTTACATTTTTAAAACAAATGTTACTTGTTACTCTTGGCTTCGGTCACAAACTCTAAGTTTGTGAATATTTATTCTATTTGCGCCATCCAATACAGATCATTGCCGCCATCCACATCTAGTGACAACTAGTGTAATTGGATGAGTCGTATAACGCTTTTGACACCACTGCCGACATGAAATAGAGGCCTCCCTAAAAAAGGTAGCAATTAAATATTCAATTTAGCATAAAATATTATGTATTAAGGCTGAAAGTGCACCCCATCTACAGTTAAATGGCACAAAATAAACTGGGTTCACTTTTATTTCAAACTAACCTTAATATACACAAAAAAAAATCTAACTACTATATTCTGTTATTTTAAATTGTTTAATAATAAAGTGATGATGGAAGCATTCAATGATCCAAACTTTAACACACCTTAATAACTCTCAGCATCTTTTCTGTCTAATGAGGTTCATGGGGTCATATCCAGTCACTGCTAAGCCCAGGTTTTCACAGCTCTGCTAAAGTCCCTAGAAAATATTTAAGTTCAAGCTTGTTGCAAATCCTAACTCGACGACTGCTAAAATTGCCCACAGCACCACCAGTAAACGACTGATTAAACACAGTTGGGATCAGTTTGGAAAGGATTAGTTTTAAAGACTAAATACTGTGGAAGCATCAAAGGTTTACAGAATAAAACATTTCTTTTTTGTTATTATTTTATTGGTTTCATATTATTAATGAGATTGTAGGGCATTTTTTGTTCATGCATATGCACTTAAATATAAGTAATCACAAAGCCTGTAAAACTATAAAAAAAAATAAAAAAAAAATAAATCCTAGGAACAAATGGTACACTTTATGTTTCATAATGACTATTTTTCCAAGTATATTTTTATGAACACAGCCCTATTGTGTACATTTTAAAATGAATATGATACTGCAGTTATTTTACTATTCATATTTTAAAAATGAATGAGCAAAGGCAGCTCATCTTCCACAGAGAGAAAAGGGAGGAAGATGCTGAGCTAGATAAAAGGTCTCTAAAAATCCTCTATATCAATCGATCCATCCATTAATTGTACATGCAAGCTAACTCTTAAGGGTTTTTCCCTGAGGTAGGGTGCACCTCAGGGATTGCGATCAACTTTAAAAAGAGACAGATATATTTTTAATAGAAGGATCAAGCTGGAGTACCAAGTGAAAAACCAAGTCACACACTGGCAGAGCATGAAAACTCCATTCAGAAAGACTGCCTACCAGAATTCAATCAAAGTAACATCTTGCTGCAAGGCAATAGTGTTCATCTGGCCCAACAAAAGATGTGCAGTGCTTCCTTCAGCCTTCGGCATTGCCCCCCCCCCTGCAGGTTTTCATTTATCTTCTTTAGTTCCAACAAAGGGCCGGATCTATCAAAGGTTTGCGTGTATAAAAACGTGAGCTATTTCACTGCGCACGCTAAAAAATGTACAAACTGATCTATCAACAGCGTGCTAAAAGGATTTGGTCTTTAAAACGTGCTAAATAGTGCCTCTTATCCATTTAGTACTTTTTCTGCAATGAATATGCAATATGGGGCGTTTACACGCAAAAGTTCTTCTTGTGGGAGGAGAACATGTAAATATATTAATTTAGCACTCGCAAAGTGATTTATCAAACCTGAAAGCAATTTTGCTAACGGTATCTGACTCTATATTTAACACGTTTCAAAGAAGGTGCAAATGGTCTGTATGCGTAATTGCGCACACATGGCAGCGATTATTGTCGCAAGAAGGAGACATAGAAATGAAGCAAGGAGACGCAGAGAACGCATTTTTTAACTCCGTGTGAATATTATTGGAATGAACGAGGAAACGATCATCAAAACATATCGTTTATCCAGCATTGCCATTTTGGAGCTGTTGGGGGAACTCCGAATGGATTTGGAGCCAGCCACAAGGAGGACCCACGCAATACCAGCTATCACAAAACTCCTTGCAACATTGCACTTTATATATATATATATATATATATATATATATATATATATATATATATATATATATATATATATATATGTATATATATATATATAATTTTTTTTGGGAGGGGGTGGGGGTGTCACTGTAAGATTTAAATTTCTTAATGCACTAGTTTGTACAAACTACTTTGCCGCAAACCACAAAACGCTCAAAACCATCATTTAAATAGGGCGTCTCCAACAGTTTTGCACCTGCCACCAGTTACGCAATCACTCTTGTTAAATCACCTGCAAACCATGGTTCAGCCCCTCGCGCAAAATTCCAGTCTGCGAGCGCAAATTACTGCACGCAAAATTGGATCTTGATAAATCCGGCCCAAAGACAGGTAAAGGAGGATGAATGTATCTGGAATAACGAGCACACATTTCTGTACTTTCTCATTACAATTACAAGTATTGTCGCAAGATTTGTGAATTCATAAACTCTCTAAAATCTTGGCGGAAGCCAATGGATGCAATAGCCTTGAATACAGATATGATTTTGAAACAAGGAAATTCAGTGACATCAAACACAAGCAGCAGGCTGAAAAAAAAGAAAACATGGCTACACGTGTAAACTTTGCTATTTAGACTGTTTTAGCTGTAATACCCTCAATTTCTTTTTTAAATACAAGCAAAGGACCCGATTTTTACCTTTGTGGATGGGAAAGATGATTTTTGAAACAAATCAAGAATGTAATACGTCACAGCTGCTACTGCAACTGGCTAAATGCTCAACATGGGAGGCAGGTGCCCCTTGGTGATTTACTCACTTGGCTTGAAGAATTGTACTGAATGTTCATCCTTTTTTGCAAACGCTTTCCACAGAAGCCTTTCCAGCTGGATACTGTGCGAAATTCAAATTGAACTACATTTATCAATCTGTCTAGGTCAGAGTTCCCAGTGTTTTATGAGATTTCCAGCTGTTCTTTAAAAGAAAAAAAAATGGTAAAAGCTTAAAGCCCAAGTAGAAATATTACTTCCAGGGTCCAGATTTTATTGCTTGAGGCAATTGTTAGGTAAGAACTTTCGTACCTAAAAATTGTAAGTAATTTCACCTTTAACCAAGATTTCCAATTTATCAGCTGTTGTTTTATTCTACAGTACTGATGTAGTTAGAATAGGTAACATGAGCTTATGCAGATTTTTTTTTCAGTTAAAAAGTTTGTGAATGTCCAGAGATTTATTGAGACTTTACCAAACATAATGCACTGTTCAACACTTGAATGCACTGTTTAACTCACACTTTAGTATTCTTGAATAAAATATAAATTCTATTTCAAATGTCACCATTATTAACCACAAGAAGGAACCTTAAAGAGGACTCCATGCTCTTGGTATGCTTGTCCATAATTTTGAGTTCTCCTGTGCTCCGGCCACCGTAAGGCCAGGTATGACTTCTTAACCTCTGATCTAATTTTTTTTCCAAGTCACACTGCCTGCGAGTGGAGAGAGAATCCAACTAAGTAGCTCCCAATATGTGCAGATGTTATTCACTATAAAACGTTTTTTTTTTGTTCTTTTTTTTCCAAGAAGACTGATAAACTTCCATTTCTACTGTCCCTATTCTTTTTTGCAAGGCTCAAAGCAGATCACTACTTATCTGTTTATTGTCCTCCTGAACTCATATCATGGGTAAAGTATTCTGTTTTTTAAAAAGTTTTACTGATTGTTTATGCCCAGTCTACCCCACCTGTTGTATATGCACTGTGTGACTCTAACCTGGCTGTTTTGGCTTGGGATTTATTGTATTTAGCATTAACCCTCAAAGCAGATGTGTTTTAAATAGTTTAAAATTGAAATGAAATCCTGCATTTGGCTGGGTCAGATTGTGATGTATTTGAAGAAAAAAAAAAAACTGGCACAGCATCAAAGCAAGGCCTGACTTCATTAGCCTGCTTCAGCCTGCAGCTGAATGCTCCAACTAGAGGATTTTACTTAATCAAAAATATTAATGAAACTATGCTTAAAAAAAGAAAAAGCAGCAGTAAAGGATGTGAAAAGGTTTAAATAGGTAGGCTACTAGGTGTGACCGTAAGAGGGGAATCTCTGTTAGTGATCAGTGAAGTTTGTCAAAGTTTTTTTTCATAAAGAAGGTAGAATGATCAGCTGTGCTTTCCTGCTCTGCCCCTGTTTTTTTTAAGGCTCAAAGAGGATCACGATTTCACTTTATACGATTTCTCTCCTTCTGAACTCCTATAATGGGTAAGGTATTCTGCTTACTGAAATGTTTTGTTAATTGTTTACATTCCAGTCTGCCCCGCCTCTATATGCATGCTGTATGATTTAAAGCATGGCAAACCTCACTATTTTCCCTTTTTATTTTGCATTTCCCCCAAACTGAATAAGTTTAACTTTGCAACAGTGTCTCTCTTCCCTTCAGATGCCGAATTGTCTTCTAATCCAAATCCGTCGTCTAGAGTTTAGACTTCTTTTTAGGCCATTCAAGGAGCCCACTATGCTCTTGAGAGGAGCAATGCATGCAACACTTCTCTGTGTCATTACAGAGAACAGCTGAAATTCATTGATAAAAACAAAAATATGGCCTCTTTAGCTTCTGTCACTGGAAATATTGGGTTTCTAAGACAGTTGCTATGTTGCAAACTTTGATTTGGCTCAATGATGGGAATTGTTTTGCCATTCGTTAATAACTGTCCATTGATTGCTGGGAGAAAACTAATACTCTTATTTCTCTTATTAACATTTCAACCCATCTTTAAGAGTATCTGGTCAAATCTAGAGCAAGATATGAGGTAGCAGTTCAAAGAACAACATGAGGAACACATTTAAAAAGACCCAAAGAAGATAAGGTAAAGGACAAGCGGGTGATGAAAAGATTTGCAAGAGAGTAAAGTTCTTTTTTTTTGTCTATTGATGTGAAAAAAATCTGGCTGCCCCTTCCCCTCACTTTAGCATAGCTGACCAACATACTCACCACAAAGCCTCTCGTCTGCTCCATTGGGGCAGTCTCTGTGCCCGTTACACTGCAGAACTTGAGGGAGGCATTCACTCATGTTGCCACATGGAAACTGGCCAAGGGGGCATCTCGTCCCTTCCTTCACAGGGTTGGCCACCAAGCCTGAAAAAGATAAAAAACAAGAAAAGAAAAATAACCAAAGGGAAACTTATCAACCACTTTCATGACCACATCAAGAGCCAGCAGCTTCTACAAATATTTTTGAAACAATGGCTCTGTCTAATGAGCAGAGTGAATTGCAGTTAGCATATCGTAATGCTAGACTGCACATAAGATGTATCAGTTGTACGATTTTACTGCTACAACATAACGGAGTGAGGGATTAAATGGAATTGATATGGAATGACTGCCTACAACGTGCTAGGCCACGTAAAATCACAGAGTAGGGTCAGAAGATTGTGAGGGCCGTAGTTTGCAGAGATCCCGACCTTTGTAGGATCAACAGATGGGATCTCAGGGCAATTGCGCAACTATTGGCAAGAAAAACCTTGACTGGGAAACATAAGAGTTCTGCTGTCAAGCCATTAGATGACCTCCTAGATGAAGAGCAGACACCATAATTCACTGACGCGTAGAAAAGTGGTCATAAATTCAAATAAACACTCAAACTTAAAAGGAAGCCTTCAAGAAACATGTGAAAATGTTACAGCTGCAAAGCTGACATCCTCATAAATATCCCAATGTTTTAAGAATAGGCTGTCATTGAATTTCTCCAGATGTCAAGCAGACAAGCAAATATGTTTGTCAGAGTAGTGTGTATATCATTAACCAAATAAGTTTATTGAAATGTGGCTGCTCCTATTCTATTGCTTCTAACACCGTTTACTGTTTTGTGATACAAGCAAAACCACGGTCAAACGTATGCAGCTGCCTTAGTATTCAAATGAAAGGTTATGGCTTTCTTTGAAGAGTTCCATTTAGTTTTTAGAGCCTGGTGACCTGAGGGCTGAAAACAGTACCTTATTTTCCATCTGGCAACCTTTGGTAGAAAATACACGCTGAGTGACTTAGGCTACTTCTGTGTTGGAAAAATTTGTCAGAACCAGTAAAGTATTTTTTCTATCCACTCTTGAACCATTTTCTACTTGAATGCAACCTTTATGGTTGTTTTTAATTTATTCCCTCAGTGAGAATGGGCATAAAGGGATATAAAGTTGAGACAGGTTTTGGCAACACCGAACAAAATGTAACATATTAGCTCTTTGTACTTGTTAAATCACTTGCTTATGTATTTACTGTGCACATTTTAGTTTAATTGTGTTGAGTAAACAACCAGAGCAGCTGAGCATCCACTCATTCCAATGCTATAGTGCACACTGGTGTATCATTGGCTTGTCTTAATGAGGCCGAAGCACCCCAGACAACTCATTTCTGAACTTATTAACGCTCCCATGCTGATTTACTACGTTTGTTGTTCAAAAGGACAAAGTTATAATTTTATCAATCTCTGTCCTTGTTCAGCACTAACTCATATTTGATTTGCATCGGGTAATAAATGAAAGGACATTTAACCACAAAAAAAGACAACAACTATGAAATAAATTACCACCTCTGTTGCTACTTGGCAAAGCTACCAAAACAAAATGAAACCCAACCACTAATAAAGCATTACACATTAAAATAAACATGCACTATTCCTACAGGGCTGTAAATCAGAGGGAGACATTGATCGATTTTGGACAGCAGTTTGGTTTCCAACTAACCGGATTTAACAGCAAACCAAATTCTAGAAGTTGAATTTTAAGACAATATTTTGGGGTTTTGTTTTTCCAGAGATCAGAGTAGAGATGCAAGGGAAAAAAATCACTAGTGACCAGAGTCAGCATATTTTAACAATCTCCCTAACCAGTGGTTGCCAGGTCACATATGCAAGAAACACACCATTTCAAAGCCCTACCAAGTTTTACCGCCAAATCTTCCAATTGACATTCTGACAGTGTGAACTTGGGTGGAGGTTTGTAGAGGACTCTACAGGTGCTGGTCATAAAATTAGAATATCATGAAAAAGTAGATTGATTTCAGTAATTCCATTTAAAAAGTGAAACTTGTATATTATATTCATACATTACATACAAACTCATATATTTCAGATGTTTATTTTGTTTAATTTTGATGATTACAAATGACAACAAATGAAAATCTCAAATTCATCATATCAGAAAATTAGAATATTACTGAAGACCAATAAAAACAAAGGATTTATAGAAATGTTGGCCAACTGAAAAGTATGAACATGAAAAGTATGAGCATGTACAGCACTCAGTATTTAGTTGGGCCTCCTTTGGCCTGTATTACTGCAGCAATGCGGCGTGGCATGGAGTCGATCAGTCTGTGGCACTGCTCAGGTGTTATGATAGCCCAGGTTGCTCTAATAGTGGCTTTTAGCTCTTCTGAATTGTTGGGTCTGGTGTATTGCATCTTCTTCTTCACAATACCCCATAGATTTTCTATGGGGTTAAGGTCAGGAGAGTTTGCTGGCCAATTAAGAACAGGGATACCATAGTCCTTCAACCAGGTACTGGTAGCTTTGGCACTGTGTGCAGGTGCCAAGTCCTGTTGGAAAATGAAATCTGCATCTCCAAAAAGTTGGTCAGCTGCAGGAAGCATGAAGTGCTCTAAAACTTCCTGGTATGTGGCTGCGTTGACCCTGGACCTCAGAAAACACAATGGACCAACACCAGCAGATGACATGGCACCCCAAACCATCACTGACTGTGGAAACTTTACACTGGACTTCAAGCAACGTGGATGAAGTGCCTCTCTTCTTTTCCTCCAGACTCTGGGACCTTGATTTCCAAAGGAAATGCAAAATTTACTTTCATCAGAGAACATGACTTTGGACCACTCACCAGCAGTCCAGTCCTGTTTCTCTTTAGCCCAGGCAAGACGCTTCTGACGCTGTCTGTGGTTCAAGAGTGGCTTGACACAAGGAATGCGACAGCAGAAACCCATGTCTTTCATACGTCTGTGTGTGGTGGTTCTTGAAGCACTCACTCCAGCTGCAGTCCACTCTTTGTGAATCTCCCCCACATTTTTGAAGGGGTTTTGTTTCACAATCCTCTCCAGGGTGCGGTTATCTCTCTTGCTTGTACACTTTTTTCGACCACATCTTTTCCTTCCCTTCGCCTCTCTATTAATGAGCTTGGACACTGAGCTCTGTGAACAGCCAGCCTCTTTAGCGATGACCTTTTGTGTCTTGCCCTCCTTGTGCAAGGTGTCGATGGTCGTCTTTTGGACAACTGTCAAGTCAGCAGTCTTCCCCATGATTGTGTAGCCTATAGAACTAGACTGAAAGACCATTTAAAGGCTTTTGCAGGTGGTTTGAGTTAATTAGCTGATTAGAGTGTGGCACCAGGGGCCATCAATTTTGAACCTTTTCACAATATTCTAATTTTCTGATATGATGAATTTGAGATTTTCATTTGTTGTCATTTGTAATCATCAAAATTAAACAAAATAAACATCTGAAATATATGAGTTTGTATGTAATGTATGAATATAATATACAAGTTTCACTTTTTAAATGGAATTACTGAAATCAATCTACTTTTTCATGATATTCTAATTTTATGACCAGCACCTGTACTGCAGAGACTGGAGCTGAGGTGGTTTCTTGTAGATTTAAAACAAGGGAGACACTCAGGAGAATACATAAAGGTGATAGAGAAGAGAATCCAGCAATGATGAACTGCAGAGGAGGAGTATATATAGGGAGATAGAAAAAGTAGTGGAGTAATCAGCCAATTGGGAGCAGGTGAGGAGAGAAGCAGCTAATTGAAAAGAAGAGGAGCAAACAAAGAGTAAACCGGGTAATTCTGTGAGCAGGGGTCCGTTTCAAGAAGCAGGGATTTATTTCACGAAGAAGGTTTAATGAAAACTCTGTTTCTGCTCTCATTGGCCCATTAGGGAAAATCATTCAGATATTTGATGATGTTTCCTATCATCTGTTTGCTTATGATATCCAGCTTTACTGCTCTTTTAAGTCCGCAGAGATCCAAAAATTAAGCTCTCTGCTGAATTGTCTTGCGCACGTTAAACAATGGCTTGGTGCGAATTCCCTGCAACAAAACTCTGATAAAACGGTGCTGTTGATTGCTCCTGATGACGCTATGTCGCTATCTGAAATGTATTTCAGATATCATAAATACATATTCAGTCAAGCTGATAAATGTCAAAACGGCCACTTAAAATGCATAAACATTTCTAGATATAAAAAACTTAATTCCTACTGGTATTATTTTGTTTCTTTTTTTACTTTCTAAAATTCAGTTTCTGCTACAAAAAATTAATTTAGAAAATATATTATTACAGTTCAACCTAGGAGTGTGATATTGTTCAGGAAGAATCTTTTTTTAGTGATCTACAAATGGAACAACAGACAGGAGAGTGCTTATAATAAATATAGAAACAGCCTTCACTTCATAGAAACTTACACATTAACTTTGGCAACAATCTTCTTCCTTGCCATCTTCCTGTCCTTTGAAGCTGTAGCGCTGTTTCTCTGTCTTTTAAACATATTCTCCCTTTTTTATATTATTTCTGCATTAAAATCTCTAGTTCCAGTGGGGTGAAAAAGGCACTTCCTGTTGTTATAGTGACTCGTCAAATCCGGGCTCCATTGATAATGGCTTTTCATACTTTTTACGCACGTGTTAACTACGCAGAGTTGATTGAACTAATTCCTAGCAGACGTTGTGAAACTGAAAACTCTAAGTTCCTGACTTTAGGCTAGATCTACTTAGAATTGCGAATTTGAATCTGAGTTTGTTAAACCTGCTTCTTGAAACGAACCCTATGTTTACTGAAAACTTTAAGTCTTAACTCTATCAGCTACATTGTCTGGGGTTCATTTCTCGGCCCAGGGTCTTTCTGGATAGAATTTTCATGTTCTCCCTGAGCATGCCCAGGTTCTCTCTGGGTACTACGACTTCCTCCCACAGTCCAAAAACATGACTTAGGTTAATTAGCTTCTCTAACTTCTCCTTATGTGTCAGTTTGTGCATGAATGGTTGTTTGCCCTGTTCGTCTCTGTGTTGCCGATATGTCCAGGGTGTAACCCGCCTTTCGCCCCTCCAGATAGGCACCAGCAACTCTCTAGGGAT